TTTCATGGAAGGAATGATTAAAGGAACAAAATTTAAAAGCAAGTTTCAAATTCATAGAGCTTTTGTGGCCAGAACAATCAAGGAATATTTATTTAGGAGAAAAATGGAAATAGTGTAGGAGCTGGTGTTGGCCATGGACAGATAATGTTGTTTTTTCATTTATTTATTTATTTATTTTTTTATTTTTAAAAAATGCTTTCATTTGAGAAACACTTCCTTCCCATCATCCCTGAAAAACAAAGTTATTAATTTGTTTTGAAATTGTTAAAACAATTTTTTTGCAGCATGAAAATATATTATACTATGCATATGAAAAAGGTAAATGTTCCTTGTCTAGATACATTTCAAATAACTATTCGCTTATTATTTGATGAATAGAGAGATTTATACTCTGAAACCTAACATTTTTATAATTTCAATTCTGCTTTATCACTTCAGACATTTCTTTCGGGAAAAGGTTTTTTTTAGAAAAGGTTCAGCTAAACAGAAATGAATAGAAAGTGAATAAATTTGTTTCTAGTTTAATGAACATTCTGATTTAAATGGAGATTTTTATTCTTGCAAATATTAATTCTCAGTTTTAGCAAAAAAATGATCTTCAAATATCTTGATCTTCTTATATTCTTGGACACTTTTGAGGTTTAATTAAAAAAATGGGTATTAAAATTTCATTCTATGTTTGAGAATAAAGTAGAAGGGGTTTTACTGTTGTAAAATTTCTGGAGTCCTATGTTCGCTTCTGGAAACATGTTAGTTTGTGTATTGTATATTAGTATATATTTGTTTCAGAGCAATGTCATGCAGACATGTAGTAGGCTTAATGTTGCAGAAATGTATTGTTTTTTTGTAAGAAGTAATGGTCATTGAAGTACTTTAAAAATAAGTGTAATATGTTTGAAAAAAGTGTGTTTATCATGTGCTGTTTTATCATTTAGGGTATACTTATCAGTTTTACAAGAATACTTTCTGATGTTTTAGGGCATCTTTTTTAAGCAGTTCTTATGTTACAGTAGTTTACATTATTTTATCTGAATTTTATAGCCCTCTGTTTTATTTTTGTTATTAGAATTATTGCTTTTAAAAATGTATTATAGTGATGAAGTGAAAGGCTTCTCTGGCTATTGATCAATTCATTGTGATCTTATTGAATTATGATTCATAATGAAATAGAGCTACTGCACTTCAATTTTAAAATATATTTCTCTCAAATTTCATCAATTTGTTTTTCAAGTGCTTCAGACATAATCATTTTTTGTATTTTAAATTTTACATTTGCTCTATTGGTACATCTAAAAAATGATGTGGTAAGACTGAAACTATATTGATAATTAACTTATATTCATCATTCTGTTCTTAAAATTAATGATACTTAAGATTTTTTTTTTTTTTTTTTTTTATTTTAATTGTATTTGCTCTTGCGGATCATTTCTAAACTATTATGGTACTTTATTTACTGCTGTAGGAACTTGTTCCACCAATTATTTACTGTTTAATGATTATTATGGGGCCAGAATATTTGATATTTTATTTTTTAATAATTTTCTCTGCAGTATCATACATTTTTCCTTGTATTCACTATAAAATGAATTGTATTTTAACACAGGTGAAGTTAATATTAATTTCATTATAGAAAAAATGTTCTTATTGGAATTTGCAAGAGTCACTGTTGTGAAATTTTGTTTATGGTTTTGTTTTCTCTGCTTCACTGTAATACTTCAACCATTTTAGTGCAAGTTACCTTGTTCTGAAAGTTGACCTTTGTTAATTGGAAGTTGTTGGGGATCAGTAAAGCAAAGTGAAAGGATGGAATTTCTGAAAAAATAAATCCATTCTGCTGAAAATATTTGTTGTAGGAATATCCCTCTTGCTGGGATAAAAACTTCAGAAAGAAATATCAAAAACTGGAGTTGACACTGTGTTAATTGTTTTGCCTAAAATATGGTTTTGTTGGATTTGCCTGCGAGTGGCTGCATCATTCTTATCCTCAATATTTAACGAAGTGCTTGTTATAAAGAAGTAGTAATTATGTTGTATTTTCATTATTCCTAATCCTATGTGAGCTGTTTCCTTCTGAATCCCTGGCATGCAAGTGTAATCTCAATGTTTTTATGATATTCACCTGTCATTTAATACATATACATTTTCTTCTTTAGATTTTTCATTACTTTGAATTTTAGTTGAAATATTGAATTTCAGTGTTAATATGCTATCACTAAAGCAGTGCAGTATTTTACATCCATGACTATATAAAATATACCTTGTTAAGTGTACATTTGTATCTTCTGTTGTAAGTGGCCTTGTTTTCTTTGTAACTATTGAAATAAAACTGGTCTTTTTTATATTGTACTAATGGAAGATAAATGTGCAATGAATATTTGTGTTGCTGTAAAATAATATACTTTGTTATGAATTTTCTATTTTGTGTCTGTGCATACAATTTTTGAAAAAAACTGTAATTCAGCCAAAAATTTCAAGTGTGTTGGGATTTCATAAAGAAATCTAAAATACATAGAATTATTGTTACGGACCATCCTTATGTTATTATCTATCTTTTAGTTGTGATCATAGAAAAAATATTTATTTTGTTTCTGACATTTGTCATTAAGAAAGAAATTTTGTGTGATTGAACAAATTCAGACATGTAAACTTCCAGTGAGTTCAGTTGTTGTTTGGATCTTATGATCAAGTATATAGATTCTTATAGAAATCCCAATATCTGAAATAAATATGAACGGAGTACATTAATTATTCTGCTAAAATTTTGACTGATTTGATACTAAGAGGTGTTGTACAGATGACATCACAGCATTTCCTAATGTTTTCAGCACATTACTGTGGTTATTTACTGATATGCTTTAAAACTGACTCTTATGATCACCTGTTTTTTCTTTTCCTGTATTTTTGATTGCATATTGAAACACTGACATCTTACTAGTTTTAGTAAATACAATTAAGTTAACAAGTTGCATGCCGTGGAAAGCATGCAAGTTGTTAATGAAAGCTGTGTTCTCAAGGTGAAGACTTGATAGTAATCAGAATAAATTTTCTCGGGTTGCTAAATTTGTAGTTGTAAGATAATGTAAACTAAAATATATTGGTAAGGGACAAATAAAATACCTTAAAAGTCAACTTTTCATTTGCTATAAAACAGGAGATACTGCGTTTGCGATTATGGTGCAAAACTTAATGTGATAATGATTCATGAAAACAAAAATTATATTTTTGTGAATTTTAATATGATTAATAAAATAAAATGAATGTGAATGAATGTAGTGCTGTTTCAGGGTGGTGACATACCTGAAAAAAAAGAGGGAATTTGTCTAACTGGAAAAGTCAGAAATTTTTTTTATTTTCATGTCAAAATTATTTTCAAAGTAATTACAATAGGAATGGTCATACTTAAGGTGGTGAATGGAAAAGGGTAAATGTTTGGAAATGCTATTCAGCCAGTCTCACCATGTAAAATAAGGCTTCAATTCAGAGAAATTTTTCAAAATTTTGTTCATCAGAATCATTCAGAATAATGTTAGATTCGTGTCTGGTAGTGTTCCAAAGAAGTTCATCGGAGGAATTTGTAAGTCTTTTAAAATAATTGAAAATATACAATAATATTTGATGTGTAGTTGACAATAACTTGTTTATTTCAAATTGCAAGAGTTCTGTTCAGTAGGCCGCAGAGAGCTCTTAGACACTCCCACCCACTCGATCTTTTTTCTTTGGCAGGTACTTAAAAGGCTTAGAAGTAAGGTGAGAAAAATATTTATTTTTAATTTGTGCATTTTATTATTAATAATGATTGCAGGTTTGAAAAAAAGCACAACTTGAACAAAATTGATGTGAAATATTTAAGAAATTATTTTAAAACCCTAGTTAGAAACTTTTCTCAATTTTGTGAATTAATGTCAATATAAAGGGGAAATTGATGTTGATAGGTCTGATAGAAAATGGGAAAAGTCAGAGAAATTTTTCTTTTCAAATGTTGTCACCACCCTGCTTGGAATCCAGGTTTTCTTTACTAGGGGTTTGCATGTAGTGATAATATTTTAGCTATTCATTTATGGTTTCTTAGAGTGGAATGTATTAGTGGCCTTACTTTCCAGTAATGCCAAAGAATGGTGGTTGAAATATCATCGCTACTGCCTAGGATATACAG